GAGAGAGAGAGAGAGAGAGAGAGAGAGAGAGAGTTTACTATTTTGGAGGAGCTGGTGAAGGAGCTGGTGAACTGGGATCCTTTAGGCGAATCGCAGGTGTATCTGAAGGTGGATTGGGAGGAATCGGCGGGTGTCCAAAGATCTTTGTCCGAGACCGTGTCATAACTGGACGGTTTGACGATGTCTTTGGTGGTGCGGTAAGGTTTTTGACACTTTTTGAAAAGCATCACCGTTTCCACTTTTTTCTCGCCATCCTCCTTGTCCTCGGGACAGTCGCACATTTTTCGCGCATTTAAGATTCTTCTCTTTTTTTCCCGTTAATTTCGTTCGATCAATACATCGATTCGCGTTGGTTAAGGGACTTAATTGCAAAGGTTAAATGTCGATCGAGAAACGAAATATCGAAAACAAAATAACGATGACGAGATACGAGATGGATTCAGTGTTGGCAATGTTTGATACAATTAAATTGATTATGATATTGGAAATATTTGATTATCAATTGTGATCGAGGATTAAACGATTTAGATTAAACGATACGATTAAGGATCGAAGTATTTAATCGTTAATTGTATCGAGAATTAAATTGTACTTGTTATTATATCATAAATTAATCATCGGATCATAGCGATTAATTGTACGAATTCTTTGATGTTTGTCTTTGGATTTAATGTTAATCCACTTTGGCCCTGTTAGTAGTTTGTAATCAATATCGAATATAAAATTTCGATTCAATTATTACGAATCGATAATTTAAAATTAATATTCCTAACATCGCGAAAGAATATCATTATTTGAAATTTTTTGAGAAAATAAATTTAATAATTAATTGTTATCATTTTATTATGAGAAAACGAAACGTAACGAATGACAAGATGAATTTTCCAGATGCCTCGAATGTGGTGGAACGTAACGAAGAACGTATATTTGTCACGCCTACACCCGCAGACAAGATTACGAAAATTACGGAGTACAAAAATACGGAAGGAAGGGTGCCTGAAAGATCTACGACACTGTACGCTACGCGAATACGTAAAACCAGCACTTCGATGCCCACCAATCTAGACGAGATGGAGGATCTTCGAATCGATAGGCAGAAGGTAAGTGAGAAAGTAGTGAAAAAAAGAAAAAAAAAGATCTTCGAATAGATAGATGGAAGATAAATGAGAAAGTAGTAAAAAAAAGAAAAAAAAGGATCTTCGAATCGATAGACGGAAGTAAATGAGAAAGTAGTAAAAAAAAGAAAAAAAAATATGTCTGTTTCTCGACATACATATTTGTAAACGTATACGTAGCTTCCAGCTAGCATTTGCAAATCAAACGTCGTGTGTATCTTTTACCGTGAATAATAATCATTGACATATATTGTCTTGTCGCGATTATCCGTTTAAAGATCCTATAAATAAAATGAGATAAAAATCATATTTTTCTCTCGAGAGAATATATATATATATATATAAATAAAATTATTTTGTTTATTATTTTGAAAAATAATATAGATGAGAAAATGTCGTTGAATTGTCTGTATAACAAATGTGTCTATCTATTTCCTTGAAAAAAAAAAGAAAAACACTGAATTGAACGCTGGAGAAATAAAATTGGAAGTACGATGATAAATTATCTTTTGTTTTTTTATTTTCATACTTGAATATAAAGCAAAATTTATTTGAAATATAGCAGGAAGATGAATTCTGAAGTAGGATAAGAAATCACTCTTCAATTGCAATAAAAACTTCACTTATATGATTATCTATCCAGAGACAATTGTTCACCAGACCCATATTTATATAATTTCCCACTGGCTATTTTCAATCAAATTAACGAGAGATAAAAGAATTTCACAAAATATTTTCTCTTCAATGCGTAATGATCAACATGAAATATTATATTTTTACGAATTATATTAAATTTTTTTACGAATTAATATTTTTCTACTTATTTTGTATCAACGTTTCTAATTATATATCGCATTGTAAAAATATTCGTATATAAATTAGCTTGACTAATTCATACAAATTCCATTATTAAAATTACATCAAATCTCGAACGACGAAAACGTTTCAAATCCAAGTTTCGATCTTTCCCCTATCCGTTGAAGATCGTATACCGAGTTTCGTTTCGTCGATGTAAAAGCACGCGTCTGATTGCGTAATATTTACCATCCGTCAACCTATGCACCTTCACTCTGCCGCTCTACGTTTCCGTGAGAGTAGTTCTCGAATGCCGCTCGAAGCGACAGCTCCTACTTTCCCGATCGTAGGACAAACGCGTTTATCGCTCGTTCGTAGGTGGGGATAAATACGTTATCCTTCGTCCTCCCTGTTTTATCCTCGTCCCTCGTTAGCCCGAGATCACGAGTGGTCAAATTTTCGCAGGGAACCGCCTCAAAGTTTACGAGATCGGAGAGCGACGACAGCAGCAGCGTGACGTTCAGCAACAGCGGTTCTACGCCCAATGGAAGTCCTCTCGGTTCTGAGACCGAGGAAGAAGCGAACGACGAAGAGTTGGCCAAGTGAGTGACAAATCCTATCCTATCCTTCGAGGTTATTTTTAATTTAAAAAAAAAGAAAGAAGAGAATAATTCGTTTCGAATCAAACGTAAATTCTTCGAGATTATTCTTCTAACGATTTAATTTAAAGAAAAAGGAAAGGAGAGAGAGAGAGAGCAGGAATATCGAATCTTCGATATCGATGCTCGGGCGTAAATTCTTCGTTTTTCTCTTCGAGATTATTTTTAAACGATTTAAATTGAAAAGAAAGAAATAAAAGGAAGAATGCTCGTTTCGAATACCGATGATCACGCATAAATTCTCCGTTTTTACCAGTTGAAACCAGTATCGTGCGTTTGGTTGGCGTACGCTCGCCGCGAGAGGATCGTCTTTGGATTCGACCTTTATATCGCTTCAGGGTTATCGCAACACGAATACGATCGAGCGTGTTTCCCAATCGTCAATAGCCAGTCGGTATTCGACCATTAAACGGACTTTTACGCGCAAACAAATTTCTGCGCAGTTGCGTCTTGCGCATCGTTTCTCCATCGTACAATTAACGATGCATTTGGCGACATTGATAAAGTGTTCGCTCGCGAAATTTTGAGCCTTGAAGCCGTCGCTTTCTTCCTCAAAAAAATTTTTTCATACTTTTTTTTCGAGATCGAGATCGAATTTTACACGTTTCGTTCGTAAGAAGAAAATGATTCCGAGATACGACGTCGACAGTGCGGTGTCTCTTCAAAGGTAAAAAAAAAGGAGAGAAAAAAGAATTCGTTTTTCGATTCGAAATATAAATCTAATTCTATTATATTTCTTTTTTCTCTCTCTCTCTCTCCAGAGTACCGTTGCAAGCTCCTCCTCGAAAGAAGAGCAGACCCATGTCGTCAATGATGAACCAAAAATTGGGAAACGATCCGATGGAATTATCCGGCGGGCAGAGCGCGACCTCCACAATAACGAGCGTCAACAGTATCAGCAGTTTGCTCAAGGAGAAACTTCAGTTGTCCATTCCCCAAGCTCTGCGCAGCAGCAAGAAGAGGCAGAACGCCGATTATCGGTAAATAAAATTTTTCAATTATGATTAATCTCTTAACTACTTAATTCCATTTAATTGTTTCCAGCCTCCGCGCTTTCGTCGGGATATTGTTTCTCTGCGTCGTTTTCCTCGTAGGATTCGCGCACATTTATTACACCCAACACGTTCTCCAACGGGCCTATTTCGACAAATTTAGGTATATACATAATATTTACATATATATTAATTTATACATATATGTACACATATATATATACATATACATATATAAATTATATATACACATATAAATTTAGATATATACAACAGGTCGATTCGAATTTTTGATTAATCGGTATGAACGTTTTCCAGGTTCAATAAGAACCAACGGG